TCTTATATATATATATATATATATATATATTAAAAAAATCTGGAGATTTTAGCTTACCACGGCAGAGTACACAGTGTAGTAAATGCCAGGAGAAGCAGAGTCGACCAACGGCGAGCTCTCATCTCCGCCGCCATTGCCGCCATCACCGCCATCGCCGCTCGTCGTCGAATTAAGACCCGGCACTGTAACACCAATGTTATAAGCCAGAGTGCCATCGGGCTTAAACAGCCCGTAATGACGCTCGGACGATGGCCCGGGCTTCATATTCTCATTAAAAAGAGCGAACACATACACCTGAAGCGGCGATCTGGGCTGCATCGGCGTCCCTTTCCCCTCCGCCACCATCTTCATCAAATTCCCATTATACCTCCGGGCATTCTCCAGCGTCGCCCCCACCTCATCTTCATCCCCCGCCGACGGCCACCCTGTCTCCGATACCCTTACCTCCACCGTCTTCTCCCCACCCGCAGCTGCAATTGCGGTCACGACTGCATCCACCTGCGCGTGCAGCATGTTCCTGTACCTTAGCCCTGTCCCCGAATCAACCACGCCGGCGCTTGGTTGGAATAGGACGTAATCAAGCGAAACCCGCTTGGGATCAGCTTTGTACGCAAAGAATGGGTAGGCATTGATCAGAAAAGGGGATCCGGTTTTATTGAGGAAATTGATGAGGGGGGAGATGTAAGGAAGGAGATCCCGTCGGAATCTGCCTGCGGAAGGGGGGTAGGAGGTGGAGAGGATGGTGAGGGAGTGTGCGGTGGTGACGGCGACCTGGCGATCGAGGTTGAGGGTGACGAGTGCTGAATGGACAGACTGGATCGCGGGAATGAGGCTTTGAATGAGGAGGGTGTTGTTACTGGAGAGGATTTCGTTGCCGATGGTGACGGCGGTGATTTTTGTGCGGGGAATGTGGGTTTGGAGGTTGGATTTCACCCATGAGAGGGCAGCCGCGGGGTCGCGGAGTTTAGGAACCAGTTGGTCAGGAAGACCGACGATAAACTCTATGTCGGTGCCGGCGAATGCGCGGAGGACGGTGGGATCGGTGTCGTAGAGCTTCAGGCGGCCGGCGCCGACGGAGCGGATGAGGGGGAGTACTTCATCAGGAGATGGGAGGTTGTTCGCTACTTGGCCGTAGTTTACGCCGATAACCGGCGAGGAAACAGGGGAGGAGGAGGAGGGGGAGGAGGAAATGGTTGGGAGAAGCGAGAAGAGTAATAGTTGAACAGGGATAAGTGGCTGGAAGGCCATTGTTGAGGAAGAGGAAAGTCGAGAGTAGAGGGAGGTGAAGGGAACAAAGGTTCTGCAGAGAGCGGAGTGCAGGGCAAGAAAAGGTTTGTGAGACTTTATGTAGGGAGGAGCGATAGGGGAGATCCGGCCGTCGATTTTGACGAGAGGGAAGATAGTCGATACTCAGAGGATCGCCGAGCAGCTGAAATTTAAAAACAAAATAGTAATGATAGAGTGCCCCAAATTTCCGGAAGGATCATAACGCTCATTTGGGGTGGGAGCCGAACTTAGTGGAAGGTTGTTTATATGAATGTTTATTCGATATGTACTTAAATGTACATTTTTTTGGTAGTGTTATAGCAATTAATAATAGTTACTGTGCTCAATCTCATTTATCAAAGGCATATTTAAGCTCAGCTCAATAAATGGATCTTATTGAGTTTAATTAATAAATTTTTAATTTAACATGATTTAACATTTTCAAAAATTTATTGTTATTTTCTTAAAAAGTAATTTTAAATTACTTCCTGTAGCACTGAATTGGTTAAAGCTCAACAGTTTAATTCAATTATTTACAATATATAAAAAGTACCCATCTTAAGCATCATAATAATGTAGAGATAAATACTCAAATAAAAGACAGAATTTTAAATAATCGTGTATCTATCTTGATAGAGCTTTATATCAAGACTTATATTGAGTACTGCATCAGGTCTTATATTAAACCATGATCTAGCTTCTTAACAAACTTATTCATGGGTGTATACTAAAAAGCAGTCTTCATAGTTCAAAGTTTACAAGTAATATGCCTCATGAGCCTGGATCAACCTAAAAACTCGGAAGACACGATTTTCGTCGAAATGACTTGTTAGGGGAACCCGCCAACCCAACTCGCTAATATGATAATTGTCATGCACTAACTGTCAAGCTGACCTACCGAATTATTTTGGCGAACTAGCTTGTCGAACTGGTTGAACCCTTCCGTCTAACAAACTCATCAATCAAACAAGCTCGCCTCCTCAGTGATCTTCATAATTATAAGAATACAAAAGTCAAAGACTGACACAAAATGATCGACTTATGTCATCCTCATTTATAAGTTGTCTGACATGCATATCATTGTCCTTTCATCAAGTTACTGCGAATAAAATCTTATACGACACAACTTACACTTTCATGTTTTTCTTGTACATATATAAAGGGAGAGACAAACTAGATGATGAGCTCTGAGACTTTTTGGGGAACATAGTGTCATGACACCAACGAAACCCTTCAAGTCCTCTCTTGTTGCTAAGTCATTTCCTCAGCTCCTTTGAAGGGGAACCAGAGGGCAGAATGTATAGTCCAAGCATGGAGAATACATCCACACTTTCTCCCACCTTCCTTACATAGGTCTCTCCTGTGTTGTATAAACTCATGAATATTATAGGATCTTACGTCCTAAGATTTAGTAAACGTGTAATTTATACTTAAACTCACCCAGAATATCTTCCAAAGCAAGAAGGAAACAAAGGAGTACAATGGATTATACTAAAGAATTTGTAACGCAATAAATCAATCAATTGAAGATACAAATGATGAAGGCAATGTAAGAAACAAGAAAAGAAACTTTTAAATATGGACCAAAGGCTCATCCTAAAAAACATACCGGATCACTAAGTTTGGTGGCTCGCAGACAAAACACACCAAGGAAGGATCTACCAAGAGCATGACATAGAAAGGCCCTTGCACCACGGCTAGAAGAAGATTGAGAAGAAGGAAATGAACATGAAACTTACGTCCTAGATGAGAAATTTTCCTAATCCTTGGACGAAGGAACTAGAAAAATGAGCAGAAGGCAAATGTCATTGAAGAATACATTCTCAAAAGATATTACAGAAGCCATAACACCAAAGAAATTTAAGATTCCATCTTTGGAATCTTTCAAAGGAAATTCGGACATTGTTGACTCTGTAGCTTGTTTATAGCCAGTTGTGTGTTTTTTAAGGGAAAATGATGCTTTGAAATGTTGTTTATTCTTTATGATATCAAATGAATCAACTTTACGCTTTGTGGGAGTCATTACTTACTTTGGAGAGTTCAAACGAATGTTCATAACATAAATTTCAAGTGCACAAAAACCGTTGAAGAGCTCCCATTTGATGATTACTCTACCTTTGACCAGAGAGAAGGAGAGAATCAGTACACATCATCAGTTGACTTTATTATCTTAGATGCACTGAACACATACAATGCTATTATTAGAATATTGGTGTTAAATATCTTCAAAATGACAACTCTTACCTTCCAAGTTGCAGTAAAATTTCTTGGTGGAAGACTTATCATCGCTAAGGAAACTTACTTCAAATCAGAACCTATTATCTATGAACTATAGAGAATGTGCACAAACATCTCCTCCGGCGCAACACAAATAATGGTATGTATTGGATTATACTAAAGCCACAGAGCAAGTGCTAGCTTTGGAAGAAGAACTACACAGAACTTTCTAGATCAGTTCGGATTTACCCTTAAACATCGAGATCAATTGTTGTCATTCTTAAGGAAGCATTGCATCGTGTTTGCATATACTACCAACAAAATGTCAAGGGTAGACGTTGACGTTGCTTGTCACATATTGAATGCGAAGCTAGAAGCAAAATCCATCAAGTAAAAAATGAGGGTTGTGGCGGGCACGTTAGCCCAACCAATTAGGCAAGAAGTCGAGAAGTTGTTGGATACCAGCTTCATTTGGGAGAAAAATTATCTTAAATACCTAGCCAATGTGGTGAGGTGTGAAAAGTAAATATTAAGTGGAAGATGTGTGTCAAGTTCCCTAACCTCACTTGATGTGCTCAATAGACATTCATCCATTGTTGAGAATTGATGATGTGTCTGTTGACTCTATTGTGAGACATTCAATCATTAGTTTTTTGGATGCATTCTCAGGCTACCATCAAATCAAAATGCACCTGATTGATGCAGAAAAATTTGCCTTCTTTACTAGTTAGGAGTTTACTGCTATGATAAAATTCATTTTGGTCTAAAAAATATTGGATGAACCTACCAAGGGCTGATGGATGTATGTTTTTTCAAATAAAAAAATGTTAAAATAAATATTGATGATCTCTTAATAAAATGCAAGTCACTTGAGCAACACATGCTAGACTTGGAGGAAATATTTGCAAATTTGAGAAAGTTCAACTTAAAACTCAATCATCTAAATTATAATTTCAGAGCGAGCTCAAGTGAGTTTTTGGGATATCTACTCAAGCTCAGAAGAATAAACCTAAGTTTGAGAAGATACATGTCATATTAGACATGTCACCTAAAAAAAATCTCAAGGAGATGAAAACATTAACTAAATGAATTGCAGGTCTCAAACAGTTCATATCGAAGTCATGGGATTGATGCTCCGCATTCTTCAAAAACATGAAAAACTTCAATTCATTTGTTTGCACTGTAGCTAACTTTAAATGGTTAAACCAGCTTAACTTGCATATGAGTTTTTAATGCTTCTCATGACCTTGGAAGAGACTAAGGAGGATTTGTAGCTAGTTGTTAACATTAGTTTGAAATTTTATTGGAAGATTATCAAGGATTCATATGATCCAAATTAAAGGGGAATTCTTATAACTTGACTCTCCACTAAGGATTCTATTGTTTTAATAAAAATTTAAAATAATCACTTAAAAACTCCTAGAAATTAACTCTTCAAACTAGAGTTAGGACTAGTAAACTTAAATATTCACTTATTGTGGAAACTAAAAAGTTCCCTAAATGATTGATACACACACTCAAATTCATATATTACTTGAGTGACACATATATTTACATGGTTGATGTCTGCTTCACAACATTGTGACATCACTAAGTACTAACAAATATAGAAAGATAAAGCAAAACGAACGACGAAGAAAATGATCAATCGATAAGTTTTCCTTCATGTATTTGTCACATTACAACAAGTATACAAGATGAAAGATAAGACACAGAAATTGTTAGATATATAAAAAATGAAGATTTTTTTCTCTCACATCATCCAAACTAATCTTACCAAAGTGGGGGAGATGTTGCAATACCAACCTACTGTCATACATGAACCACATGACCTATTCAGCTCAAGATGTGGCTGGAGAAAGGCAAGCATGATCTTTAACCCTTCCAAACTTCATCGACTTTTCCTAAAAGTCTTTAAATTTTCTTCTAATAATGCTTCAAGCACAACTATCAACTTCTGGGATCTTATATCAACGGATGCCTCCAACATTGTTTGCAACTTATCAATACATTCCTTAAATTTAAAGTTAGAAAATTTTTCTATTGCAGCAAGATTGGAATTACAGTTTTGGAATTCCAAAGGCCTTCTTCTACAATTTCCAATTATTCCCTCAGATAGCCCCAATATTCTTAGTGGTCTATTTCTTGAACATTTAAATAATCCTTAAACAGATCTGCATGCTCTTGCCTTCATTCAGTGGGCATTGATAATCCCTCAATAACTAGAGAGATGTAAGTCACGGTTGACACCTGTGGCAACGTCTTACTGATAGTCTCTTGTCCTAAATCCCCAATCCCTTATTCGCACTGAATCTCGACAAGCAAAAAAAATGAATTCACTAGTCTTATTAGTAAAAATTATGTTACCTCACAAAGTCAAGTCAACGAAAGATTGCTCGAAAGACTTCAGTTCAACCCAATCATCATTAATTTTGGGTAAAACATTGAGAGAGGTTGCCTGACTGGCTCAAAGATCAACTACATATCTGTGTTTGAATGTAACATGAGAAAATTATTATAATATTGATGAATCTTCAAACTTTATCTCTTCTTAGGAAAAGAATTATATTATCCTCATCACCCATGTTGTGTTTAGGAAGCACCGTCCCACCTCTCCTTCAGCCCATCATATATGTCAAAAGTTTGATCTTCATTAGGATCATTTAGATCAATGGAGACAACTCCTAACAATCACGTTACTTCATAAATTCAAGTCAATGAAAGAATGTTCGAAAGACTTTTGTCCAGCCCAATCATCATTAATTTTGGGTAAATCTTAGAGAGGTCACCTGACCAGCTCAAAGATCAACTATAATATCTGCATTTGAATGTAACATGAGAAAATTATTATAAGATTATTGAATATTCAAACTTTATCTCTTCTTTGGAAATGGATTATATTATCCTTATCACCCGTGTTGATTTAAAAAGCACCATCCCATGTCTCCTTCAGCCCATCGTATATGTCAAAAGTTTGCTCTTCATTAGGAACATTTAGATCAATGGAGATGCCTCCTAACAATCTA